TAAAGATTTTATTTATTTGACAGAGAGAGCCACAGCAAGAGAGGGAACACAAGCAGGGGGAGCGGGAGAGGAAGAAGCAGGCTTCCCGCGGAGCTGGGAGCCCGATGTAGGGCTGGATCCCAGGACCCTGAGATCATGACCTGAGCCGAAGGCAGACGCTTAACGACTGAGCCACCCAGGCGCCCCTCACTAGCTCCTTCTGTTAGCTTTGTAATGATAGATCTAAATTGCTAAAGAATTTCATTGACTGTGTTACAAAAAATATCACAACCAGCATTCATATTTGTGTGGATATCTCCAAATACTCTTTTAGAATTGAAATGGTGAATTCTTTTTTTTTTTTAAAGATTTTATTTATTCATTTGAGACACAGAGATACAGAGAGAGAGAGCATGAGCAGAGAGAGAGGCAGAGGGAGAAGCAGGCTCCCCACTGAGCCAGGAGCCCGATGTGGGGCTCGATGTGGGGCTCGATCCCAGGATCCTGGGATCATGACCTGAGCCGAAGGCAGACGCTTAACCATCTGAGCCACCCAGGCGCCCCGAAATGGTGAATTCTTTAGTACATACTGGAGATTAGGAATCCAGAAACTGAAGTTTAAAAAAAAATTGACCCTATCACTCACAAAATCCTCTTTAATAGGAAAAAAAAAAAGCAAGGAAGGGAGGGCTGTTGAGAAGAGAGAAATGTGAGGGTTATTGAGTCTGGCTGGCATTAGGCCTTGCCCATACAGTTCTCGACTCTTGGTCCTATACAGGCCAAGGGCCTGGCTGCTCCAAGGTGGGCCACTTTGTCTTGATTATTTTGAGCTAAAGGCAATCAAGACCCTATGGACTTCCTCCCTATGGAAGAAACGTTTTGCCCCTCCCTTCACTACATAGAAGAATCTAAATTGGGGTCTTTCCCAGAATAATGGTTATTAGCAGAAATAAATTTTCGGAGTGACCCACCTATATGGCAAGGCAAGCATCTAATTACCAAACATCTCTTTTTATTGCCCTGTGACTTGCATTCTTTCCCTTCTACCCCTACCTGATTCTCCTTACACATATGTATATTTATATTTATTTATATATTTATATATAACTTTATAATATATGTATACCTTATTTTGCCTGACTATTTTTGGAATTTCCATGTCAGTGTGGATTCCCTGTATGGGTAGGAAACTAAATTTGATTTTCTCCTGTTAATCTGTCTCATATCAATTTGATTCTTAATACAGCTAGAAGGACCTCTAAGGGGACAGGAAATTCTTGCTCCCTAATATTCCACATTGACTTTCTGTATGGTCTTTAAATACTGTCCTACACTGGTGACACCCACATTTGTATCTCTAGTCCACACCCCTTCCTTGAACTCCAGGCTCCTCTACCTAATGGTTTGCTCATTCACTCTGATATCCTATAGGCACTTAAAGTTATTATGTTCAAAACTGAGCTCCCAACTCTTTTCCCACCCCCAGCTCCATGTGTAACCTTCCTCACCTCAGGAATGGCAAACTTACACTTATATTTCCTTAGGTCAAAACCCTGGGATTATCCTTGAATCCTCCCCTTTTTATGTCTGTATTAGCACTCCTTTCAAAAGCTATACAGGATGCAACCACTACTCACCACCTCCTCCATCCACACCCTGGCCCAAGCTGCCATCCTCTCTCACATGGATTATTTTAATAGCATAAGTGGTCTCCTGCTTCCACCTTTGCCAACTTTTGTCTACTTAACTCAGCTGTCAGAAAGTTCTTTTTAAAGATGTAGGTCCAGTCCTGTCACTTGTTTGCTCAAAATACCTGTATGGTTTCCCATCTCACTGAAAATAAAACAGAAAGCTTGTGAAAGGGCCTACAGGGTCCTACCTGACATGGCCTCCAGCTCTCACTCTGATCTCAGCCACCAGGGTCTCCCTCCCTTACTCTGCTCCAGTGTCACTGCCTCCTTGCTGAAGCAGTGGCTGCAAGGAGAGGTGTGGGTGGCATGTGTGTGAGTCACCCATCCCCCTCGTTGGGGCCTTTGCACCTGCATTCCTACTGCCTGAAATTCTCTGCCCATCCTATGGCCCCATCTCCACATGGCTTACTCCCTCCCCACTGCAGGTCTGTGCCTTCTCTGAACACTAACAAAACCCTCGGGTCCTCTCATCATCACTCTGTTTACCTGCCTTGGCTTATTCTCCTTAGCAGTTTTCACTAATATATTTATCATCAGTACCCCACACTGGAACATAGACTTGTGAACATAGTTTGTTCACTACTTTATCTTCAGTCTAGAACAATGCTCAGTATACAGTAGGCACTTCATAAATATTTGCTGAAGGAGTAATGAATCACCACAACCCCTCAGAAGTGTGTACTGTTGTCCCCATTGTACAGGTAAAGAAATGAATCTCAGGCCCAGGATCTGAAATGAAAAAGGTTTATGATAAAGGAAGGTTGTTTGGATACTGGCGATTTTTGGAATACAATCCTGTAGCACAGTCCACTATAGATCTGTGTATTTAATAAAACTTTAGCTAAATTATTCCTGACTGTAGACCTGAAAAGGAAATGTCACTCCACTTAAAGATTCAAAGACTTTGTAGGCCATTCCCATGCTCATTCTTCAGATTACACATCTATTGTATCTTTATTTGCAAAAGAGGAACATAGTTTCTAGGGTTAGCCAGAATGAATCCAGTAATATTGCCTTTTTAAAAATACTGCTTTTTAAAAGGTAGCCAAATAAAGCAATTTTTTTTTTTTAAGATTTTATTTATTTATTTGAGAGAGAGAATGAGAGAGAGAGAGCATGAGAGGGGGGAGGGTTATAGCTCAGAGAAGCAGACTCCCCGCTGCGCAGGGAGCCTGATATGGGACTGGATCCCGGGACTCCAGGATCATGACCTGAGCCGAAGGCAGTCGCTTTACCAACTGAGCCACCCAGGTGCCCAAGCAAATTGTTTTTATAGCAGTAATTTCCACCTTTGATTCTACATGGTTATGAAAATTTCCATAATTATGTAGGTAAGATTATGGCTGTGTGAATTTGTGTTAATCTGGGTATTTTCCCCCTTTGTAGACTTCGTGATTAGAGCTATTTTCCAAATGTTTTTAAATGACTCCTTTAAAATCAAAGGCGATTCTGTAGGGCTGAAAGCTTAAATACAAAGTCTGTCACTTTAGAAGCTGAGTAAACTTGGATAAATTATCTATTCAGTTGTTGGGGCGCCTGGCTGGCTCAGTTGGTAGAACCTGCAATTCTTGATCTCAGGGTCCTGAGTTCAAGCCCCATGTTGGTCATGGAGCCTACTTTAAAAAAAGAAGTTATTTAGCTTGCTTTCTAATCAGTACCGAGAGTCTTAAAAGCCACTTTAGGGTTAGTCATGAGAATTAAATGAAATATATGTCACAGTCTCTACCACACAGGAGATACCAATAAAAGTGGTTTCCCTTTTCTATCAAACAAAAACCCACACTGCAAAACTAAAATGCTGCGTCATAACATTAAGCACACCAAGTTTCTGAGCATTCCTTCTCAACCTTAGGGTAGAACCCCGTGGAACCTAAACGAAAATGCATGAATCAAATGGAAAGAAGTTGCGAGATATGCATATAGCGCGAGCTGCGCTTCAAAAAAAAGAGCCTCTGCTCAGCCTACAGGCTGGAACCCAGGCCCACTGATTCTCCCGCAGCTGCAGGGGCTTCCCTAGGGAAGGAAGCGCCCGTGCACCCCTTCTCGGCTTTCACCCATCTTACAGTGCGGCTGCGCAGCGGAGGCAACTGTCCCTTGGCGGTCGCCGTAGGCCGCGAGGCCCGGGAGCGCTTTTCTATTGGCTGGGCATGTTTGGCGCCAAAGAGCGAAGCAGAGGCGGAGGCGAGTATCCGCAGCTGTGGGACTGCAAGCCATAGGATACCCAGAGCGGTGTGCGTGAACCCGGCGACCGTTTGGCGTGAGAGCCGGCGGTTAACGAGACATCGGGACCGGGGCACGTACGACATGTTCTGCGAAAAGGCCATGGAGCTGGTTCGCGAGCTGCATCGCGCGCCAGAAGGGCAGCTGCCAGCCTTCAACGTGAGGGGGGGGACGGGGTAAACGAGGCTGGCCTTGCTGAAGGGGCGGGGCTTGGGAGCGCAGGGGACGGGCGGGAGGAGGGTCGGCGACCCCGCGGGTCTAACCTGCGTCTCATCGGAGCGTGGGTTTTCTCACGGTGTCAGCTCCAAAGTCGGGAACAAAAATTTCGGAACACGGAAAAACAAAATATGGCAGGAAAAAGAGCATTCATGTTTATATCACCCAGCGATTTGGTGAATTTCCTGAGTATATTTCCTTCAGTGTTTTCCACGTATAGCTTTACTGCTGGTTCCTTTTTTGACCAAGCATTTCTTGGTTGCCTGATAACAATCTAGCATTTGTTGAACCCTTCAGGCAGAAGCTAGGCCTGTAAAGCCAGGCTGGGATTCCGACTCCCTTGTGTGACCTTGGGGCAGTTACTCAGGCTTTCTGTGCTGTCCGTTTCTTCTGTAAAAAAGGGAAAGAGCGTAACTCAACTCTTCCTGTAGTGAGGGCTCTGGGAGTGGCATATATATGTCAGGTTCCCTGGACAATGCCTGACAACACAAGTAGCAGCGAAGTTAGTGTTTGCTACTAACTTTCTTTCTACCGCTGCTGCTACTGAAGTGGGAGAGCGAGGTTCTTGTCTCACGGAGACAAGAATGAATCTCGCGGACGAAGGAGAGTGAGTAAAGCGGTAGAGGTAATTGAGGATACAGAAGTTCTCAGGAGTGAGAGGGGTCCGGACAGGGTTACCATTGAGGGCTTTTAGGGTTGGTCTTTTATAGAATGCTAACCAGGGAACTTAAATATTTTTGACTTCTCTATTGATAGCACCATTGAGTAAAGACTAGTGATAACACCTTTCAATGGCTTGCTTTTTAGGGTCCCATGATTCTTTGTTGGTCACAAGTAGCTGTTATAACAAGACCCCAGCTCTGACACCTAGGACAGGATGGTCTGGTTTGTTCCCTTATCTCTGGTTTCCTTACACCTCTGCATTTTGGGGATTTTTGTGAGCCCGATCCTGTGGCCCCCTACCTATCTCTCCCTACTTATCCCTTCCTGTCCCTTACTCACTACTACTTATTACCCTTATTCTTATTTTTCTGTTACTACCCCAAAAGGGTGCTAAGCACGTAGCTTATGTTGTCTGTTGTTCTCATAGCTTATGTTATCTGTTGTTCTCATAAGAACGCTTTGAGATTTAAACCATTTCTTCCAGCCATGTATACAGAGGCTTGGGGAGATTAAGTATCTTGGCCATAGCCAGTAAGAAGTCAAACTAGGATTTAAACCCTGGCAGTCTGGCTTCAGACCTGCACTCTAAATTCTATACTTGACTACTTTCCCTAGCATAGGGCAGCCACTGTGTGGATGCCAGGGCATGTTCTGCTGGGAGAAGGGCACAAAAAGGAGTATTAGAATGCAGTGTGAGGACACCAGAGAGGTATACACAGGAGCATAAGGAGAAATGCTGGTATGAAAAGGGATAGAGGAGGGGGCATTTGGGCCACGCCTGGAAGGATGAGGTCCCCGCTCTGAGAAGGAAGATAGGCATTGCAGCTGAAGGATACAGCCATGCAGAGACTCATGGTCACATAGGAAGAGGGGACTGACGTGTGTGCAGAGGCTACAAAGGTAGGTTCTAGGCCTAGGAAAGTTGGGTATTCACGTATAAGGCATTTGGAAGCTGGTAAAGGATTTTAGATAGGGGAGTGATAGGGCAGTTTTTTTATGTTTTGAGGGTAATGATGGCAGAACTACGTAGAACAGATTGGAGATAAGAAAGAACGGTGGCAGGGAGATGGTTATGGGTGGTTATGATCACTCTCTGACAGGCCTACTGTGAGAGCTGTGTATGGTCCAAACTGTGTCTGGTCGCTGGGTCCAGAAATCAGTGTCTGGGTTTCAGATATGAGGCAAACAGGACTTGTAACTGTTAGAACAGGGGTGGAGATGGGGTGGGTAATCAATGAAGGAGGAGTCAGAGGATCTTGGGGGGATTCTCTCTCAGGTACAACATCAGAGATCAGGAGGAAGAGTGTTTGGGGAAAGGTGAGTTTTGTTTTGAACATTAAAGAGCACCTGGTCGAACAGTTAGGTCCTTTTGCAGATGAGACTGAGCCAAAAGAAATTACAGATCAAATTCAGGGACTTGTCTGAACTTAAAGCATATTGGAGCAGAGCCTCACCTTGAACACAGGTTTCCTAGATTCCTGTCTGTTGTTCTTTCAGGACAGTTACTTCATTTAAAAAATTAGGAGACAGTGGTGGGAAGTTCAGCAGAGATGCTGGAATGCTAAGGCGTGCAGGCTCTAAAATATGACTCCACACTGCATTCAGACAACCAGGCACTTTGGAGGTTATCTAACATAGCCCAAAGAGACTCAGACTTGTCCAACAAGAGCTGGCCATGCCAGGCTTGCGACTGGCTCTTCGGACCTCTAGTCCATCCAGCTCTCTGTTTCACTCAAATTTTAAGTTACCACTTCTGGGGGGGTCCAGGGGCAGAACTTAGAAGCTATAAAATCACTCCTTTTTCTAGGTCTTAGTTTGGCAGGGCACCTTTTGCAGCTTTTGCTGCATGTGCACCTTCCACTGACAAACCTACCACCTAGCCAGGTGACTCAGCAGCCTGGAAGACTCAGCCTGAGGAGGTTGGCCACTCTTTGACACAGCCAAGCAGGAACATGCCAATCCATCTGATTGATCTGAGGGCTGATAGGCCCATGACCCACAGGACCTTTCAAGAATCATTCCTTCCAGGAAAATGATAGTCACTGGGTCTAGAGCAGGGACTCTGCCTTGTTCATTCCAGGATCTCTCAAGGTTAGGTGCTGTATTCAGCAAATTGAAATAATTGTCCACTTTCTATATGCAGAACTGGTAATAGTTTAAGTGAGTTTTTAGGAAAATTATCTTGGGCTACCAGCCTGAGGTGGGAACACAAAACAGTGCAATTTTTACTATAGATAAGTCTGAATCTGAAAACGTGTGTATTTTTATTTTTTTTTAAGATTTTATTCATTTATTTGAGAGAGAACATGAACAGAGGGTAGGGACAGAGGGAGAGAGAGAAGCAGACTCCCCACTGAACAGGGAGCCCAACACGGGGCTTGATCCCAGGACCCTGGGATCATGACCTGAACCAAAGGCAGACGCTTAACGACTGAGCCACCCAGGGGCCCCAGCATGTGTGTATTTTTTTTTTAAGATTTTATTTATTTACTTGAGAGAGTAAGAGAAAACACAAGCAGAGAGGAGGGACAGAGGGCAAGGGAGAAACAGACTCCCCGCTGAGTGGGGAGCCCAATGTGGGACTCAATCCTGGGACCCCGGGATCATGACCTGAGCTGAAGGCAGATGCTTAACCGACTGAGCCACCCAGGTGCCCCACATATATTTTTATAAAATTATTTCACACATTGTGTCTTTTGTATACCTGCAGATCTATTAATCATACAAGAGTTTCAGCTATTCCTTAAAATATTATTTGCTGGTAAAAGGAATATTTAACTGAATTCTAATAAGTCAGACTTTTCTATGATCTCTTAACTACTTGATGAAAGGGAAGATAGAAAATGACTTCTATCATACAGATCATACAGTATGTACTCCTTTGTATCTGACTTCTTTTGCTTAGTACAGTATATTTGAGAATATCCTTAATCGGTACGTTGATTGCACAAATTGTCAGTAATTCATTCCTTTTTATTGCCTTTTTTCTCTTTTTTTTATTGTGGTAAAATATATATAACATTAAATCTGCCATTTTAGCCAATTGTAAGTGTACACTTTAGTGCCACCAATTACATTCACATTGTTGTGCAACCATCACTCCTCTGTCCAAAACTTTTTCATCAACTGAAACAGAAACTCTGTAACCATTAAGCAATAGCTCCCCATTCCCCTCCTTCCCCAGCCCCTGGTAACTTCTAATTTACTTTCTGTCTTCATGAATTTGCCTATTTTAGATATTTCAGGTAAGTGGAATCTCACACTATTTATCTTTTTGTGTCTGGCTTATTTCACTTAGGATAATGTTTCCAAAGTTCATCCATGCTGATGCATGCAGTACTACATTCCTTTTTATGCCCAAATAATATTCCATTGAATGGATACACCATATTTGGTTTATTAGTTAATCCATATTTGGGTGTTGATGGATATTTGGATATGAATGAATATTGATGGATATTTGGGTGTTTTCACTTTGGGGCTGCCATAAATAATGCTGCTCAGAACATTTATGTACAAAGTTTTTGAATGAACGTATGCTTTCAAGTCTCTTGAGTATATACCTAAGAGTGGAATTGCTGGATAATATGGTAATTCTATGTTAAACTTTTTGAGGAACCATCAGATAGGGCTGCACCATTTTATATTCCTACCTACAATGTATGAGGGTTCCATTTCTCCTCATCCTCACCAACACTTGTAATAGCCATTACCAAAGGTATTGCTTTTTGGTAAGATATATAAATCAAATCAAAGAGTAGATCAAACATTGCTACAGACTTGGTGAAGGAATTAATGGATGTGTCAATATCATATGTTCTAGGAGGATGGACTCAGGCAAGTTCTGGAGGAGATGAAAGCCTTATATGAACAAAACCAGTCTGATGTGTAAGTTTTGATGAGATTGATTTTTTTTTAAGATTTTTTATTTATTTGAGAGAGAGAGCACGAGCGGGGGGGAAGAGCAGAGGGAGAAGCAGGCTAGGGAGCAGGGAGCCTGACATGGGGCTTAATTCCAGGACCTCAAGATCATGACCCGAGCCAACTGGGCCACCCAGGCGCCCCTGATGAGACTGATACTTTAAATTTTTTTTTTTTTTTTTTTATTCATGAGAGTCAGAGAGAGAGAGAGGCAGAGGGAGAAGCAGGCTCCCCGCCTTGCAGGGAGCACAATGCGGGACTCAATCCCAGGACCCTGGGATCGAGACTGATATTTTAAAACAGCTTAAGAAATACGATACTGAAGGGGCACCTGGGTGGCTCAGTTGGTTAAGCGACTGCCTTCAGCTCGGGTCATGATCCTGGAGTCCCTGGATCGAGTCCCGCATCGGGCTTCCTGCTCGGCAGGGAGCCTGCTTCTCCCTCTGACCCTCCCCCCTCTCACGTGCTCTCTCTCTCATTCTGTCTCAAATAAATAAAATCTTTAAAAAAAAAGAAATACGATACTGAAGTCAGATAATGTTCCATCAGTTTTTTAGATATGATTTTTTTTTTTTTTTAATTCTCTGAGCCTGATCATGCTGTAGCTATACAGGACTGAGGGGATTTGTGTTGATCACCCTAAATCTATGGGATTCAAATAGTGCATGGTACATAGCAGATGCTCAATAAATATTTATTTGAATGATATGACTTGCAACCTTTTAGAGTGAATTTAAGAGATGAGACAGGAGCAAATAAAAATCCTAACAAAGTGAAACCTATAGTTTCTACTGCTCATTTGCACTAATAGCTGCCTAGTGCATTAAAGGGGTAATAGGCGATTCGTAAACTTAGCAGTAGCAGCAGTAACTTCCAGCAGCTTGAGTGGAGTTCACCGAGAACCAGTGCGACAGAAGGCTACAGCCTGGTGCGTGAGAGGGCTCTAGTGTTAGAGAACATTTAGAGCTGAGCATGGTGGTGGCACAGTGGAGAATTTGGGCTGTGTGACAAACTTCATAGGTTCTTGGGATTTGGTGAAGAGTAAGACACAAGGAGGACCAACTCCGGGATCAGAGGTGAGGTATCCAGATCTCAGCCTAGAGAGACGTCCGTTTGTTACGTGTAGGCCTTGTTTGGTACGGTGTTTTTATCAGTTACTTGGGCATAGAAATCAGTAACATGCTGGTAAGATCTGTGGAGCACATGAACAATGGGAACGTTTTCCAACTGTGGTGTTTAAGGATACAGAAAAATCTTCATAGATGGAATGAGGAACGGAACCATAGCAGGTTTACAGTAAGTGTTAAGGCAGATATAAAGTCCTGAACTCAAGTTCCCAAGCAGTTTGTTCATTCATTAATTCATACAACAAATATGTATTAAATGATTATGTGCTGATAAGTGGCTCTGGTATTTCAGCTGTAAACAACACAGTAAAGATATCTGCCCCCAGAGGGTACGTGCTCTGTTAAGCGCTGTGAATTGTGCAGGACTGTTGAATCTCAGATCTGTACCTCTGAGACAAATAATGCAAGATATGTTAAGAAAAAAAAAAGAAGAAGAAGAAGGTAGTGGGAGGGGAGGAATGAAGCGGGGGAAATCGGAGGGGTGGACGAACCATGAGAGAAGAT